TATGTCTGTGTCTGTGTGTCTGTGTGTGTGTGTCTGTGTGTGTGTGTCTCTTCACTGGCATCCGCCGTGCATCAGCATCCATCTGTACTACAAACCAAATGCTCTTGCACTTTGTAGCCCATTTCCCACTCTGTCATGGGGGGCCAGTTCCACCATCATTGTCCCTTTTAGCTGCATTACTTCCCTCTTGTTATATTTGGGGCAGGTATTTTGGGTCGAACATCTACTGTAGTGCATGTGACTTACAGGGAGCTTACCTGCCTTGGCTGAAATGAAAGGCCATGGATTTGTGTGATGTGGTGGTTTGAATGAATTTTAAAAGTGCTGGAAACCTTTGTTCCAATTTCACTGCAGGAGAAAAAGGGAAACTAATTTATCTGAAAAGTTTTATAAAACTCGTCTCATTCTTTTTGCAAATTTTAATACCCTACATCCTCACTATGGCGAATACAGATAGATGAGCAGATCCAAATGGTTTTGAATTATATATGGTGCCATACTTCTGTTCTTCTTGGTATCTTTGTCCTTGCTCTCCTTGTAACTATGAAAGCTATTATTTTCCTCTGTAGGGACCAAACAGAATGAGCCATCAGTTTTGTATGTCTTTTTTGCATCTTCCTCTGATTTTCGTATGTTTTAGCAGGGACCTCCAAAGTTCCTGGTTATATCCCCCATAACTTAACTCAAACTTAGTAAGACCTGAAGCTCACTTTCATTTTAAGTCTTCTCCTCCTTGTCATCACCTTTTACTTTATTATATGGCCTAATTATTGATCACATTAAATTTAAATTATCATTCTTTTCAAGACATTGGATGTCTCCACAATACCAACAGGTTGGTCTCTTTTTCCACTGCCCCATTTTCCAAATGGTTTTGAGGTAGAGCATGTGTCACCCTGGGGTCAGTCCCAGTATCATTAGCAACAGGCAAGTAGTGAGGCACTTAGAAGCCAGCACATGGAGATAACGTTGCTCCTTTTTGCCTCAGAAATGGATGTATTTTTAGTGTGTGAAATCCTATGCATCATTACTCTGAAGTATTTTTGCATTTAAAGTGCATATGTATGTATTTTTGAGACATCCTACACAGTAATGTGTTCTGACTACTGCGTAAGTCAGAGATCCTTACATATTTCTTCTCTGTGCTTCATAATCATGTATTTGATTTCCATGTTTATGGGATTTCTTCAGCCTGTTTTATATAGGTTTTAGGACCTTCTGGTATATGCTTAGATGGTCAGAGATTAGATTTCTCCTGTATTTTTTTAAGGAGCCATAATTTATTTGTCTGATGTTGACAGAATGAGCAGATAAAAATGAGAATTTGGTTCAGTGATGTTCTCAGGTTGCTTATGAAGCTGCTAAAGAAGAAGGATGTGGAGTTGAGTTATTAATTATACTTTATTGCAGACTTTATGAAGGGTAAGACTTTTTTTTAATAATCCAAAATTAGAAACTCTGTTGCATTTGCATTAGCTTCTTGTAAAGCTCTTGAGTGAGCAGAATGTACCACACTGCACATTAAGAAAGATGTAAAATCAGTAAGACACAGAACTGAGAAGGTACAAAAGGCATTTGTGTCATTGTCCTGAGATCCCAAAATCTGCATGCTGGTGCTGCAGTGTTGTTTCCAAAGTTATGTGAGGGTTGTTAATGCCTCAGTGCATACATGATACCTCTGAAGGACTTCATGAACAACATGGTGACTCAGTTAAATGTTGTTGCAGAAGCTTCCTTTAAGAGTTGGACTCGATGATCCTTGTGGATCCCTTCCAAGTCAAAATATTCTGTGATTCATTAAATTTCTGTGTTGGGAGGATCATAGATGTCTTTTTTCTTTTTTCTTTTTTTCTTTTTTTCTTTTTCTTTTTTTTTCACATTAAGGAAAACACATGTGTGTCTTTCAGCTTTCTTATTAACTATTCTTAGTTGTAAAAACAATGAGTCCTCTGGAAATTAGAAAAGCCTATCACAATCCAAGAATTCTGTTTTATAAGTTGCAACACACCGTAATTATTCATAAGTGCTATTCTTTCTCTCTTAATTCTCAGTTATATCCCCAAATAATCCATGTCACAGCACTGTTCACAGGGTTAGATGCAGAATAAAAAAATAATGCTTCTTAATGATAATTTCCCCAGATTTGCTTATTCATGCAGAAGGGTCAGGTGCATTCCAACCTTTCTTCTTACTTGGGTATCAAACTTACAGATACAGTATTTTTATCACTTCTGGTTTACTGTATCTCTATCTTAGTTTAACTAGATCTTGTATTGCTCTTATTTTTTATTTTCATAATATATTTTATAGGCCATAAGAGCCAGACTGTTCAAAGCTCTTGGTGTTATTTGAGCAAATTCCCTTTTAGGACAGTTTTATTATTCTGTCCACAAAATCTTGTTTGGTTCTGCAAGTAGTTGTATATTCTGTTCCTCTGAACTGTGATCCATCTTTTGAAGTGTAGCTGTTTGCAGTGACCATGAGGACACTTCTCTGTCTTTTCAATTTCTTACTATATTTTTTACTTTTTTTTCCTTAGAGCTGAAAGACAGAATCTAGAAAAAACAAATCTTCACATATCATTTTTCCACTGTTTTACCAAGCTGTATTATTTCATGTACGTGGATTCTTCAAATATATTTAAAGTGTTCTCCTCTCAGTATTACCTGTGAATTTTTATCACATAATCTACTTATTTGCAGGTGAAGTGTGTTAAGTCCAGGCCATACAGTGAAGAGTGTGTTAAAAATGCACATTGCTCATTGTTTAACTTTTTTTTTGCTTGTTTTTTTAATCTTGACCCTATGGGGAATATATATATTATTACTAGGATGGTAAAGAGAGAGTATTTAATCTGATATATATCTAATAAATATTTTTCTGTTGCACTTTACTCTGTCCACGAAATAGATTTTTTTTTTGCATTTAGCATTTATATTGGCTGCTCTTGCTTAGCTGTGTGAATTGCTTTTATAAATGCTTTATTTGCTAAAATATGTGATTCCATCTGTTCCAAAACTATTTTTAAGTTTACCTACAGCAAAAGCACACTTTCATTGTGAATTGCCACTATGAAATACATGAAGGGTCCTTTTCTTATATAAAGGCAACTGTAAGGATAATGATGTTGCCAAGTGACATGATTTTATCCTAAAATTAGAAATTTTCTAAAAATTTTCTTTGCCACTGAATTATTTCTGCTGTTTGCCATGCAGTGTTTTCTCCTTTTTCATCTCCAGAATTATTTACAGTGTACTTGATTAATGCATGCCCCATTTTTCTATAAAATGAGAAGGCAAAAGTTGAGTGAGATCTACAAGAGCCTCTGTCTCATGCACTTTTAAGAAAACTCCTCAGACTAGATGATAGGTAGTAAGTGCCTGGAGGAGGTCTGTGAAGAAACAGAAAAATCCAGTTGAATCAAGTTGATGGGAAGTAAAGAATATGTAAAGAAAAAGGTTAGAATAACAAGGTGCAGAAGAGGCAATGTGGAAGGATCTGAAGAAGAGATGGAGGCAGACAGGAAGGTCCACAGAAACATGAGAAGCAGGGCATAAAATGTAGGAGGGTTATGGGAGAGGTGAGCAGATTAAAGCAACAGAAGATGAAGGTCAAAGTGGGAAGCAATTTCTATGAGTTTTCTTTCTAGAGAATGTTCAGACTGTTAAACCCAGATCCTTCTTGGGTTTTGTCATTTAAGGTCTGCTTATTCACACATGCTGTTTGCTAGTTCAGTCTCTTTTCATTTAACACACTCCTTGCAAAAAGTGTATTTCAAATAAATCTGTATTTATTCCCTTAAGGAAATGCGAATTTTTTAATTGAAAAAGATCATACTTGATGCTATAGATGGTAGCATGAAAGCACACCAAAAACAGAGGAAAGGAAAAAGGAGAACATAAACCCTCTCATCAGAATGACCATCAAACAAGACATGGGGAGAATTCTTGAGCATTAGTTTTATGTGCTATATAACTTTTTTCCAGAGTGGAACAATCTACAATTTCATGGAGTCATTCTAGCTTGACTTCATCATACATTTGATAAAAAGACTTTTTTAAACTAGCATCTGTCCTGAGGCAACATTTTCTTAATGAAAGTTGATGAAAACTGACATACTGGGGTTATTTTTCCTCCTGGAACTAATGAAAACAAAATTTTAATTTAAATATTTGGAAAAAATTTGCAAGCTTCAACTAGAAATGGTCCTTACCAAAGGCTGCCTGATGCATACACTGCCATGATGAGCCAGCCCAGGCTTCTTCCCAGATGTCTTCACTGTGATAGTGGACAATGCTGGATTATTTTCATGTCCATGAAATGACAATAAGTAACTATTAAGGAGACTTCATAAAGTGTCTGTTAGGTGGAGATGGCCTTAAAATTCGAAGCATGAGAACTTACATTCTTTTCCAAACTGAACTTACTTTTTTACCTATTTGAAGTCTAAATATTGTGATCTGGATATTCGGTGTCCAACCCACTTTTGGAAGCTGAAGTTCTTGTTGTTAGCATTCTTTGCCAAGTTTTATAGTTGGAAAAACCTATTTCCTTTGTAATGTTGATGACATTTGTTGGTTTTTTTATTATGAGATGGTACTTTGCTCATTTTGCCACACAGGGCATGAAGTTCCTCAGTCTGTGCATACATTAGTGTGCATATAGTGAGGTGGTATTTATATATATACACACATATATCTGTGTGTGTGTATATATATACACACACACATCATTTAGCATATATATAGATACAAGTGTGCATGTTTGTGTATATATGTATATATACACAACGATTTTGTGTTCTTCTCCCATACAAAAATGAAGTTACATGTGAGAACAGTCCTTCAATCTCTCAATGCATGCTGACACACTTCAACGTTTCATTCTGTGTTGGGCTGTCTGTGACTCTCAGTCAATGTCAGTTAAGACAAGGAAGTATTTGTGGGGAAAAGAAAATGCCCATTGATAAACTGTTTTGGTTTTTTATACTTGCTTTACAGGCCAAAGTTCAAAAAACATCAGTTCATCTCCAAGCATAGAGAGCTTGTCTGGAGGACGTGAATTTACAGGATCTCCACCTTTGTCTGCATCAAAAAAGGATTCCTTTTTCAGCACCATCTCTCGCTCACGTTCCCAAAGCAAAACTATGAGCAGAAAAGAGTCGGTGGGTTCCTTTAACTTTTTTTAGCTATTCTAATGTCACACTGCATTACTCATTAGAGACACTAATTTCTTCCATACACTGAGCCCTTGTACTTGGAAATGTTTCCCTAAGCATGCATTAATGGCTAAACCAGAAATAAGCTATTTCAACTTTTTGTATTGAGTGGCATCTCCATTATGGCTTCCATCCCATTATCCTTTCTGAAATGAAGCTGTGAAAGTGCCTGTTGCCTCTGAGAAAGACGAGAGAAGTCCTGTAAGGTTTTTTGCTTTGTTAAACTTTTGCTGTAGTCCTGAAGTTAATAAACAGTTCAGTGGGAAGCTTGAATGCTCAGCAGATCCAAACATGTCCATCTGTTGTCCCTGAAATTCCTTAATACATCAGAGGTTTCCCAGTGTCTGTAGCATCTGTAGTCTGCAGTCACAGTTCTATTTCCTACACAGCTCTGACCTTCCATTTGGTCACAAGAAGCTAGTATTTAAACAGATTGCTCTCATCCAAGAAAATCAGCTCTTATCATGGGTATGTCCCAAAGAAATTCTCGTCCCATCCAAGATATTTTAGGAGCATTACCTTGATAAAACTAGGTATGCCATGGAACAGGAGGATTCTTGTTTATTCTCTATATACATTTCCCTTTGTCTCTCTGTTGACTAGAAAACAGTTACATAGTAGGTGTAATAACCTGTAATTTTTATAAGGTGAAGGCACAGTGGTTTTCTCCATTCTTATTTCAGAAATGTAGGCTCATTTAGCTGTCTATTGATTTCAATACATAGGAGTTGTAATAGCCAAATTTCTGTTACAGCATTCTTCAGGTGTTTAGAGCTTATATTGCATAGAAATTTCGTCTGAACTCAGTGCTTTTTACTTTAAACAGCAGAATCTTTATTAATAGTCACATCATGTTTTCAATTTGATATTCAAAACGTTCTAATGAAATGCACAACTTTGTGCAACTTTGTTCAGTTTTTGTTCACTGAATGAGCGTGCTTAATTCTTGTTCCAAATGCTTTACTGTTGTCTAAAGAAAAGCTGTGTTTTGTGGTTAGTCAACAAGAAGCTATAATTTTGGTTTGTGACCATTTAAAACATGTTGAATTTCATTTAAAGCTAAAACAACAATTTAATTTCTTTCTGCTTGTCCTCATGAGTTGAAGAAAAATAAATACAGCAATACTGAAGTTTTCTTTTAATGTGGCTTAAAAGATCTAAATACAGCTTTCACTTGCAACTTTTATCCAGGCCAGAACTTGGGGGTTTTGCATCAGTAGAGCTGAAGAATAATTCCTCCCAAGTCCTCTAACAGGAGACAGGAGAATTTACCATTATATATTCATACTCAATTAAAATCCATCAATTATTAACATGTTTTTTTGGGTAAATAATGTCCCAAATTTGTGGTATTATATTAATGTTTTCATGAAGAATTTTGGATAAAGACTTATGCATTATAACAGATTTGTTGTCCTTATGATAATTTTTAGTGGATTGGTAATCATGATGAATCAGGGCATAAATTTTCAAAATAGTTATTTGAACTGTGATATGTAATTTATATTTTAGCATTTTATGATTAAACAGCTAGAAAAGGTTTTAGGCCATCAAAATCCACTTCCTTGGGTTCCGTTTTTGACTAACCCTTAATACAGGGAAACAGAATTTGTAGCAGATCCTAGAGGAAAAGTTGTTTTTTTTTAATCTGTTTTCTGTTTCCAAAAAGAATGTTTGGTTTTTGTTTTCCTGTAAATTTCTTTTGGTACTTCATTTTCCACATAGAGTAGAAGACCCCAAAGAGTTCTTCCTGAGGTCTCGAAGTAGTTGCATCAGTATTCTTGAGTTGTACAATTGCTTCATTTACAGCTGTTTTCTGGAAGCAGAAGGCTTGAAAACATAATGGATCCACATTGTTTTATCAAACTGAACTGGTTTACATTTTTAATATTATAATTATACAGATTATGTTGTTAAGTATTAGGGAAATTACCTTTGTTGGAACATTGTGATGCATCAATCTCTTTATAAAAAGATGGGTTTAAAACCAGTTATTTTTGATGTGGCAGATGAAAGATAATCCATTTTCTCTTCATCCTTGTATTTCTAATACAAACCCTTTCCGAGCATAGTGGAAATGGAATGCATACATAAAAATACTTCCTTTTACATGCAATTAAAAGAAGTCGTTTTCACAGACCAGAGAGCATTACTGTAATGGTGTCATGGGATGGACAGGAATGTCATTGTCACAGATTGCACCTGGAGTGCTGTGTCCAGCGCTGGGCTCCCGGTACAAGAGAGATGTGGGCATACTAGAGAAAGTCCAGCAAAGAGACACAAAGGTGATGAAGGGACTGGAGCATCTCTCCTGTGAGGAAAGGCTGAGGCACCTGGGACTGTTCAGCATGGAAAAGAGAAGGCTCGGAGGGGATCTCTCCGGTGTGTATCAGTATCTGGATGGAGGGTATAAAGAGAACAGAGCCAGGCTCTTTTCAGTGGTGCCCAGTGGCAGGATCAGAGGGAATGGGCACCAGCTGCAACACAGGAGGCTCTGTCTGATCATCAAGGAAACATTCTGTTTGCTCTTGAGAGCAGCTGAGCACTGGCATAGGTTACCCAGACAGACTGTGGATTCTCCATCCTTGGAGATATTCAGAAGCCATCTGGACACTAATTCTTGGCAGCCAGCTGTGCTTGGTGGCCCATCCTGAGCGTGGGCTTGGGCAATATGAGCTTCTGAGGTCCCTTTCAACTTCAGCCATTCTGGGATTCTGTGAGAGGATAAACTCTCACAGAGGAATGTAACATGTCTAAATTCTTTCTTTCCTAAAGCCAGTCCAACAAGTTGGGCTTTATCGGTGAGAGTTATGATCAAAATTGATACTTGTTTCATTGCTTCCAGAAATAAAATGTGTCCATTTCTCATATAAGGACTTCTTTAGCTTAGTAACATTTGGGTTATATTTATTCTTCTATATATTTTTTCCCCTCAGATGCAAAGATCAGTGGAGTGACTTTTTTATTTCTGTTACCAGAAACAGATGTCTCCTGCTTTATTTAGTTAAAGAAACGAATCTACAGCCTCAGGGCTGAATGCACAATATCAGTTCATGTTTTGGCAGCCCGTGGTATGGTGATGTTTTTGACATTACTGCTGAGTGGCACAAAGCTGTATGTTAATGTGAGGTCCACCAAAAGAGTTTGGAAGCCTGTTCTGTGCCCAGCATTGAGATGGTTCCCTGCTCCTTTGTGCCTTTCTAACAGGAATCACTTAAGCAGCAGTTTCTGGAGCTATCTTCCCATAAACAAACACAGAAATTTTTAATCTGTAATGCAGTCTGGTACCCACTATCTTCTGAATGGTTCAGTCTTGCTGGAATAAAGTCCTACAAAATTTCCTCTCCCAGCCTGCCTACTGCCCTCTACTTTTGGGCAGAGTTGTGAAAAGGGGCACATTTGTGGGCCATTTTTTTCTCATTATGTTTCATTTATGTCTGCAGCAACCATTAAAGTAAGTCTACTCCTCTTTTTAGCAAATAGCAAAGCTGCTTAGACATTTATTCTGGCAAATATGGTTGGCTGGTCCCAGTTTCTGGCAGAATATTTTGTAAATTGCTTTCAGGCATAGAGATGTGCCAGTGAGGAAACTTCTGAGTCAAACAATATAAACATTTTTTAAACTTTCATTAAAAGAAAAAAACATTAGGAAAATATGGATTTGACTGAAAGTAAAGTTTTGATTCTGAGAAACTTTGTGCTTTAATAAGTAAATTTCTACATAAAAGTTTCAACTTAAGAAAAATCAAATTGCCTATTTGGAAAGTACATTAGTTTAAAAGTTCCCAAGAAGAAAACATTTCTAAGGAAAATCTGGAGCGGTTTATTTTCTTTACTAAAATAATTTCTAAACATAGTCAATCAGAATCCTCATTTCTTTACAAAAATATCCTGGACAGAAGTGTCATGCATTATGCTGGTTTTGATTGCACGGACTTTTTAATTAAATCAACTTTGACAACATATGCTATTGTCCCCACAAGCATGTATAAACAACTGTTACTGTCTGTGATTTACGTAGCTACTCTGACTGATTTGAAATTAGTTATGAGTACCTCTACAGGTTAGAAAAATTAATGTATGCTATTATTTTCAATTAAATAGGCATCTGCTGTAGTGATTAAAGAGCCTGAGTTTAAGCATACAAACTTGACAGTTCTGCTCAAGTGGAAGCGGTATATGAAAACCAATGAGATAATAAAATAAATAGTAGACAACTGCACAAAGAAAACCACCTATGCACAAACTTTTGTGCATGGTACATATCTTGGAGATAGCTTTTATTACCATGTATCTTTTCCCTGACTGTTATTTTTAAATTTCTTTAAAATGTTTTAAGCAAAATACTTGTCAGTTCAGACTTACCAATGCCAAACATTTATTTGGAAGTATAAACGCTATGATGAAATGTCTTTTTTCTGTTAAGCATCATAAAATGTGCCCAAGAATAAGTTTGTTTGTCTGTGTACGTCAGCCAATTCTTGCTCAGTATTTTGGATTTGTTAGGCCTAAAGTTAAAGACATGTTGATTATTCCCAATGCCATTAAGTTTAAAATACTTTAGTGCCTTAATGTTTAACTGTAGTTAATACTGGAGGACATATGTCTTCCTTATTTTATGTGACAGGCCAATTCAGACACACAAAAAAATAAGCAATTTATTTAATATTTCAATGTTGTCTAATTTTAGGGTTAGATGAAAAGAATATTAAATTTCAGATGCTGACAGGTCACATGAGCAGAGTTTATAGAAAAAACTCTGAGATATTTTGGAACTATGATTCTTTTCTTGGTTGCCTTCCTCTGGCTTACATGACATCCTGTAACTAATGAAGGAACTGAAAACAGTAGAAGAAATAGTTTTTATTAGAAATATTTGCAAGTTTCTTATAATTTAGTAAAGCAACAGCTGTGTGCATGAGTGACAACTTTGAATCCTAGAGCTG